GGTGTTGGTTGAGCGGAACACCCGCCGCTAATGCGTGAGGAGCCGAAGATTCGCTGCTATTGCTTTGTTAAAATAATTGAATCGCGCGTTCGTACCTCTCCCACTTTTGTATTCTGCTTTTCAATTGTTTCAATCCGAAACAATTAAGAATACCGAAATATCTATTGGTTTCATATAAAAATATAAATACGTGCCGCTTATGTTATATATGGCTTGTGTTATGCTAATTTACCTTGCTGCATGAAAATGATTGTGAAAATCTCAGAACTCAATGCTATTTCGGTCAAATGATATTTTATTGATTTTATTTATAGATTTGATATTCAATTAAATAAAGAATTTATTTGCCGTTATTTCTGATTTGGTTTTCTGATTTAAACATAAATGGTTTGTTATAAAAAAAAAAAAAACAATAGTGTTATTCGATTAAATACTGTTTAAATAATATACAATTATTACAACGTGAAAAAATTTCTATTCCAATACTGAATCGTTACCCCGTAATTATTATTAATTATCATGTAGTATTAAAGCAACGATTACTTAAAATTTTACTATATTTTCAATACTATATTTCTTACTTTATATATTTTCTATACTGTTTACTGTATTAAATTTCAATTGTATATAATGTTAACATATAAGAATCATTGAATTCTGAAATATAAAACTAATGATAAAATATTTTTTTTTATTTCAAATAATATATCCATTTTTTAATGTACAATATTATTATTTTAATTATTCATTTATTATACATTAATTTAAGTTTTTTTTTATATTTAACAATCGTGATATTTTAAGCAATAATATTTTTTTATTCATTTTTTCTGCTACATATTTACATATCTATGATTTCTTATAAATAATTTATCCTTATAATTTGTAATATTGGCATACACTCTTAAGTTTTTATTATTTAAGCAAATCTGTTATAAATATTCTGTTGTGTATAATCTGTAATACAAACTTTATTCCAATAACAAAAGATTAAAATTTCTGTACCTACAATACATTAGTATAATTTAAAAATACTTTTATTTAGTTTTTGATAATAAAATATTGCTATATAAACTTAAATTTTAATTTGGCTTTATTGAATTTAAGCTATTTATTTTAATTACTACTTTTGTATTTCCTTTATATCAAATGATTATTATCTTAATTAGGTACTCTGTTTTAATGTAAAGATTTAATATTTATATAATATTAGTTATATCATTAAATAATTGAAAATATTTACATTGTAATTGATTACAGTTACTTAGAATTGTGAAAATAAGTATTTTTTATTAGTAAGTAATTGCGAAATAAAAATAACCGTCTGATTTACAACTTAGCGATAGAAAGCAAATAATTATTATATTTCATTGTTTGAAGTTAAACTTATGAATTAGCTACTAAAACAGTTGATGTTCTAGTTGAAAAAAAAAATAGACTATAGTGTTTTAAAATTATAATTAAGCATTTACTAATATCATCATTTACTAAGCATTGTATAGTGAATAAATATTTAAATTAATAAACATTGAAATTTACTGATTATATCGCATTAAACAAATAACGAATTATATTATAAATAAAATGTAAAATGACATTTGTTAACAAATTTTTTCATTTGATTTTACATTCATTTTAATTTCTTTATAACTCTAAAACCGACAGGAACTTTGATTTTTATGACAGTAATTAAATTTTCAAAGAAACTTGATTAATTGCATTGATTGATATTACAGTTAATAATTTTTTTCTTTACACTGACTTTTTTCACAAAATAGATTTCCTAATTAAAAATCATTAGATTGTCGAGTTCGAATAATAATTATAATTATAATTATAATAATGAAGTTTGGATTTAAAGACGAGTGCCATGTATATAAATAAGAATTTTATATAATTTAAGAAGTTCGTGTGATATATGTTTTGCTATAAATGTACGTTTAAATAATAACGAATGTAAATAATTTATCGCATCATTCTGATAAATTAATTTTAAAACAACAGTTATCGTATCACAAGCTTGAAAACTTAACGTAGCTATAAGTCTTAAAAATGCTGAATAAATTAAAACCAGAAATTGAAAGAAATATAATAAAGCTCTGTTAGCTTTATTGATAAAAAAAAATAATTGAAAATCAATTTAACGATTATAAATATCTTTAATAGTATATGTCTGTTTGATATTTAATTTTATTATATGAATTATTATTTATTTTCAATGTGTTATACAAATATATTATAATGATAATAAAAAATTGTTATTTTATTAATTTCTTTTAATATATTAATGGTTCGTAATTTCTTATAGAAAAGAATTACAAACCTATTGCTTAATACTTTCTAATAATATAATTATACTAAATTACAACATATGTAATTGAAAGTATCTATATTTACTTAGAATGAACATATTTTATTAGATTTAATTTTATTTAATGTATAATTAAAAGCCTAGACTAAAGACATTTAACGTAAATAAGAAGTAAAAAAAATTAGTCCATATATTAAGACAAAATATATACTAACATCAATTTTTAATCTAATACCTGATAAAATTAAGATATAAAATAAATTATCTTACATTGCCAATCATAATAAACGATTGACACGTATAAGTTAATTATAATTATAGGCGAAGCTATTGCCAGCCTGGATTTAAAAAACCTAACGATTAATTAGTTAGGTATTATTAATATGCTGCACTATAACCTTGAAAGAAATTCATGAAAATGACATTTACGTAGACAGAATAAATGTATTGTATTCCACTGTATGTAAGAAAATTTATTTATATTAGATTGTTGTTAATATTTAAATTAATTGTCTCGTATGAATTTCATTGTTCTTATTCTCTTTAAAAGTAGACTTTTAAATTTAGATTTTTAGTAAAGTAGACTTTAAATTAAGTTTATTATCAATCGGTATTGTTATAAATAATCATATACAATATTAATTTAGTTAAAATCAAAACATTGACCAACTCCGATATTCTAAAATTTAAATAATTATATATTAAGCGATAAATTTTGATAGTAGACTTAAAGAATTCTACATTAATCTAATGGAATATTCAATAACTTTTCTATTGAAAGTATCTTAGTATTAAAAATATTTTAAAAAATTACTATATAATCAAGTAGTTTATTAGGAATTTTATTTTAACAAAATGATAAAACTTAATTTTATATGCTTGAAATTTTTTGAAACGCAATTATCAAAACGTAATATCTACTGAATTATCTTTTCTTTTCTGATAATTCAAAACGTGTTACAATATACACAAATTATATTATTAAAGGAGATATAATTATTTATCTTTTGACTTCTACGTACAATTTTTACTTTTTCATGAAAATAAATTAGTTAAATTTAAATTCACATTATCCACGATCACTGTCGATTAATTTAATGTAGGTACAATATTAAAATATAAGTAAGTTTTACTTATCATTTGTTGGAAAAATAATGATTTTAAATATATTATGGGATAATTACATAAATGGAAAAAAAAATGAAATACACTTGTCAAATAAATTCATATATATATATATATATATATATATATATATTCAATACATTATATATGTATTGAACATATTTTACTACAAACGCAATCTCAATATGCATTATAAATCTTGTATTTCAGTTTATTATCTAAAAATGTACTATAATTATTTTACTCTTGTAATTTTTGGACATAGTTTGTCTTTAAAAATTATAATTATATTTAATAATTATTCAAATGATTTTAATAATAAACTTTAATAATTATTTGAATGATTAAGTTGTATATACCCCGACTTGTTATTTTTAATAACAAATTTTCTATAAAAAGAATTACATAGACAAAATATAAAATATAAAATTAAAATAAAATATTGTAAATTATATGAAATTTAAAATAATTTAATTTTTAATTCTATTTAATCTATATATTTTCCTGTTCGAAAATTGTAGTGATGTAATTCTTGGCTCGAACTGCCAATGTTTCAATAGCTTAGTTTGCCGCCCGTCGTAGCAGACGCTCGGGAAGGAGTGAGATGTTGGGGCTGTACAAGAGTCGTGAGAGTTGGTTAATTATATATTTATTATACAATTTATTACACTATTTACATATGGGTGTTGTAGAATCTTCTTGTATCTTATATGAAGATATGATTTCTTGATTGGC